AGTCTCCATAGCGGGGGATCTCAAACTTGTTCAGTCCTAAAACCAGCCAGGCAATGGTGAAAGACCCCAACAACCCACCATCCCATCCTTCCACTCTACCACCCTCAAACCTCCCTAAGACTAAGGACAAAACAAATACCCGCAAAGCAGGTTTTTAAGTAGTGCTACAAATCCACCCAGCGCCTGCATATACTGTGTGCTATGGTGTTGGGAGCTGGAGGATGCTGAGCACCTAGCAGGGGACCCAGCCCAGAGCTCCAGGGCTCCAAAGGGTTGGTTACCCTCCCCCTCCCCATCTCACAGGGAAGACAAAGAAAGCCAAGCAATTCCCACCCACTGTGATAACGGCAAGAATAGCCAAGTGCCTCCCAAAGAAAGGGCCTGTCTGGGAGTGGAGACAGGACTGATCCATGCTGGATGGCAGTGGATGAAGTTTTAGGAGTCAGAGAAAAGGAAGGTTATTGCAGGCAAAGGAAACAGGCTAAACAAAACCACAGCACCAGGAAATGCCCTGCAAGCAGCTGAAATGGAGAGAGCATGGAACAGAGTGGAGAGATGCAGCTGCTTATAATTAAGTTGTGAAAGGCCTTAATGGCACCCTAAGCATTTGGCTCTTATTTTGGAGGCAAGGAGAGGCACAGAAAATGTAGTGGACATTTGCCACTTTTGTTGTTTGTCCATCATCTGACCGAGCCTCCCACTGGCACCGATATTCCTTGTGGAGAACCCCCACTGGATGGTCTCAGTGGGAGGTAAGGCTTCCTGTCTGTCAGCCCAGATTCATGCAGACCCCCAACCAGGAGCGTGGCTCTTGCGGAAGTGACCCAGGAAGGCAGTGGGGTCCTCACCCAGTTGCCCCTGGGCTATCCTTAGCTGAACTCTGCTGCTGAGCCTCCCTTGGTTCTGGCCCATTTTCCAAGTTTGGCTCTGCAGCTTTTCTGGTCAGTCTGTGCGCCACTGTCCTTCCAATAAACTCTTCTGTTCAGGCTAGCCAGAGGCAGTTTCCATGGCTTATCGCCAAAACTCCTGACTAATACAGAAGCACATGGAAGCAGCGGAGGGAGGCACCAGATCAAAACTGTGTTTGAGAAAGGTAACAATAGTTACCAGGATTGTAGTCTGCATATCCCACACATCAAGTGCCTTTCAAAAGGGCTGTTCCCTCAGCCTAGAACATGACTGACTCCTCTCTCCTGCCCCTTTAGCTTTAAGACCTCAGCTTCCAAGGTACCTCCACAAGAAACCTCTGATCCCACCCCTCCACTCCTTAGGTGCCCCTCCTGGATGCCATCCCAGACCTGGGGGTTCTTAGGCACTTTGCAGTTTGAGAACCTCAGTCCTATACTGTACTCTGGCCACACTGAATCCCATGTTCCCATAACACGCCAAATTATTCCCAACTCTGGTCCCAATTCTGTCAAAAATGAACACCCTGACACTTCTCCTTTTTAAAGTTCTATTCACTCATCCTTCACATCTTGGCTCAAATGCCAAAGTCCCTGTGAAGATACTGCTAATTCCCTTCCTTGGAGTTTGTCCCTCTGTTATGGCCCCTGTTGCATTTCGCTTTGTATTAGATCTGGTTGTTAGGAGGTCAGCTCCCTGAAAGGACTGTTTCACTCATCTCTAATACCCCAAAGAGTCTAACACTGTGCTGCGAATATAGTGAATACTCATTCATACTGAATTGATTTGAACAAATTTTAAAAATTATATTAAAAATTTTAAAAATAGGGGAGGGGGTGAGAGGATGGGTTAGCCTGGTGATGGGTATTAAAGAGGGCACGTTCTGCATGGAGCACTGGGTGTTATGCACAAACAATGAATCATGGAACATTATATCAAAAACTAATGATGTAATGTATGGTGATTAACATAACAATAAAAAATTAAAAAAAAATAAAAATTTAAAAAATAACTTCTGACCAGAGCAGGGGCTCCTAGACAGGCTTCCTGAGTCAAGGACACCTCCCACCTCATTCGCACAGGGTAGGAAAGAGTATGGCAACCCACGTTAGAAGGAACAAATTCAACTCCTGACTCCACCAGCATGGGAAACCTTGGGCAATTCATTTTATCTCTCAGTGTCTCATCTGCAAAATGGGAATAAAAGTCAAGCATCTACCTCACAGCACTGTCAGGAAAGCAAACGTCTCAGAAGAACTTCTGAAAAGTACAAGGCTTCACCATAAATGTCACACTTAGCAAGGAGCATTATCTCGCCGTTGCTGTGGGATGGTGAAGGCCTGAGCTGAGCAGACACCAGTTTAACAAGGCAGCTCTACATCTGGTTCGCAGACAGGAATTTACCACTGGTCCAAACCAGATTCTGAACCCAACAGACCAGTTCCACTGGCCAGATGCAGAAGCCAGATTATAAGGGTCATTTTGACACATATTCATTAGCAATTCCAAAGGGCCTAAGTAATGCAGAAAGAGCCCTGCTTTTTCAGTTTCCAAGTCAGTCAATGGTTTAGGATTAGTTTCCCCAGGGAGCCTTACCTGGAGCCCAGCCTCTGGGATCCTCCTACTCTAAAAAAACTCCACCGTGTCAACCAACTTTAACCCTTGAATCCTGTGGTCCGAAAATGGAACATTTTACCCTGCACTCTGTGACTACTCCTTTGGTCCCGCCCACCACACCTACAAAAGCCCTTTCAAAAGGAAGAAATAAACATTCCAAAACGGTATTATAAAGAAGGCCCTTTGGTCCTAAGAGTCAACTTGCAAAGTGAAGTTCCTCTTTTATTCTCAGATACAGTCAAAAGAGAATGTCAATTCCTGTCTTCTTCCTTTTATGTGCTTTGGTTCACTTCTTGCAGCACCTGTGACATACACCTGCCCAGCCCCCACCTTACAGCAGAAACTAAGGCTCAGAGAGGCGCTGCAGGGGAAGTCACTGGAAGTGCAAGTGATGAGGGAACAGAAGGCTGGCTGGAGACAAAGCATAAGCCAACACCCTGCAACCTCCCCTCACCTCCCACTCCTGGGTGGGACGTGCGACATTCTTCCAGGAAGTTCCCAACTATCTTAATGTTAACGCCTTACTAGAGGGGTAAACAACCTTAACTTGACAATGGCGAGGCCTCCAGTATCCTGTGAGTCTTCTTTAACATGCGAAAATCCTTTCCCTTTTCCTTACCTTTCCCAACCCCTAGTATATAATCAGCCACCCCTCACAACCCCAGTGCAGCAGCTCTTTCTGCCCACGGGTCCTGTCCCTGTGCTTTAATAAACCACCATTTTGCACCAAAGATGTCTCAAGAATTCTTGAGTCAGCTCCGGACTCCACCCCACTGAACCTCACTAATATTCTAAAACTTCATCATATGGCGCCCGAACATGGGGCTTTGAGTCTTTACATCTGCACTCTGAGCTTCGGTGCAAAATTCGTGAGTACTTTCTCTCTTACTTTACTCCCATTTCCGGGGTTCTTCAAGGAGTATGGTCTTACTGGAACACTTTCATGCCAATTGCTCAGGCTGCAATCCTCTAGCCGTGGCTACTCCATGGGGAGGAGAAAGCCTGCCTTTTGGCTGGAAGTTGGTACCTGGCTGGGATGGTAATAAGATCCAGAAACTTGATGCCCTTTCTTTATTCCTGTCCTTATACAAAGTTGTCTGTCTTGGGCATGGGGCAGCCACCTAAGTCACCAGGACGGCTGCCAATCTTAAGACTCCCTTGTGAGGTTTCCTCCGGATTGATCTAATGTGATCCCCTTCACATCCCTGGTCTAGCCACTTCTGGCCGCAGGGACCGCCACTGGGAGCCGGCTGAAACCAGTACCCGACTGAACTAAAACCCAACCAGGGACTGTTTCCTAGGGAAGTTGGCTGTAAAGACTACATGTGTTGGAATGTCACTTAGACCATGCTGGATTTCAATCTTTACTGTTTTCTGTCAGTGTTCCCCTACTAACTAAATTGGGTAATTTTCCTTGTAAAACTTTTCTAGCGTTTTCCATGGGTTAAAAGTGGCAGGGCAATAACACAACTTTCAGGGTATAGGACGGCACAGTATCTTAGTCCATTCACCAGGCACCCATCAGCAGCCTAGGATGCGATGGGGAAGGGGAGGGACGCCGGCATCCCTCATACGGGCCTTTTACAGCAGGAATGCCTTCACGGAAAGGCAGGATGGTGATCAATAGTGATTTTTGTTGAGGGACACCTCCAGTCGCTTTTGACACCTGGAACCTCTGACCTATCCTGCGCGGGATGCCACCCGGGAATCGGGGGGAGGGGGAGGGATTTTGGTAACGGACCTTCTTTACTTTTCTGGGAGCATGGCCTTAGCAGGCTTCTTTGGTTCCCAAGGACTCTCCTTTGGGGTGCCTTTTAACCCACTAGCAACAATTTGGTTTACAAAACTTAGGAAAGGACTAAGCTCCTGTAACACTGCATGGCCTCTGTGGGATCTATCCGTTAGATCTCTGCAGGAAATAGGGCACATGGACCTAGGGTAACTTCATTGCTCGTACCTAGGCCTTCATTGTTCTACATCAGGACCCCAACCTAAGGGGCCTTTTGCAGAATGTGATTGACTGATGTGTCCGCTAGTAAACCCACTCGTGACATATTGGATGATAATTATCTAAATAGGCCTCCTCCGACCAAACCCAGGTTGCCAGAGGAAACACAGGCCATTCCTAGCAAAGGGGACTCTTGACTCTCTCTCTGTTCCTCCTAATAGATGTGGGGACTTCTCCTCACTCACTTCCCGGGTTAATGGCTGTAACTGGAGCCAAATGTGGTTAGTCTCCTTCGGGAGGGGGACTTTAAGGAATATTCCGTAGCAGCTGCCAAAACTCCCTTTGTTTCGGGGAAACTCCCTGTCTTCTCTGGCCCGACAGGGACTGCCTAACCCCTCCCCCTTGTTGGCGGGGAAAACAGGGCATCTGCGCCTCTATTGGAGCTGATGAGCTCTAAAACCGGGAGCTCTTTCTCCATCTTCCGGCAGCACTTTGCCTCTTCTGTCTCCTCCTCCCCCTTCTGTTTTCTCACCATCTTGGGGGCGGCCTGCATGACTGGTTTCTGTACCATCCTCGGTGCCTCAGGCACCAGGGCTCCTTTTCCCTTCACTGTCAAGGAGCATGAAGAGCACGCCCTGGACCTAACACCACCCACCAGTGTCTCAGGTAAAAATTAACAATGAGGAGGATCCAGGTGGAACATAATTCAGTATTTAAACTAAGTTAAGTTTGTTGGTTTAATTAAGATAGACATGTCTTTAAAGTTATCAGCACTAAATGTGAAACTTATTCTATAGAGGTTTACTGAAGGTCAAACAAACTCGTTATTTCTGTTGCAAGTTGTTAGCAAAAAGATGACTAAAATGATGTTTAACTGTCTGTCTCATCAAAGTTTTCATAGAAGTTAAGATAGCTTTCAAAGTCTTTGGTAACCTGATACTTTAAAGTTTGCTTGAATAAATGGGATTAATTCGTTGGACATCTAGGACTTTTCCAAATAGGATAAAATGCTAAATCACTGATTACTGGACATAGGGGTTGTGCCTTTTCACTTCTTATTGCAAAGAAACTAAAGATACTTAAATCTGTTGGTAAACATGCTTGTGCTTAACTGATTCACAAATTTGCCGTCTAAAAGAATTCTGGTGTAACAGTTCACAATTGGTTCTACTTAGTCTTCACTGGAGACTAAGGTTTCTAAGAGTGCAAAATTCTGCTAAATGTAATTAAGAATGATGGAAAATCTTTGGAAAGGAATTTTAGGTGTGGTCAGGATGGACTAAGATTGAAATGAATGGATTTTATTTTATTTTTATTTATTTTTATTTTAAAGGTACACTGGTGTAAGACTGAAATTCTCTTCTGTTCAAAAGACAAGGTTTCTTGAATTGTTCATCTGCTCTGGATAAGAAAATGTAAACGAAGGTAATTTTCTCTTGTCTGTCCAGAAAACCAGTTTCTATATGTTTTGTCATCACATCTTCAATCACTTGGTTAAAACTTCTCAATATTAAAGGAGCTAAGTTTTGCTAACAACTATAGAACCCTACATATTTATTTGCCCTTCAAATCTCTTATTGTCATCTTGGTTAAATAAAAATATTTGTTTTGTAATGATCTGTAATCCTATTCAGGCATGTGCTATAACTTTCTAAGGTTTTAACAAACTTCCCAAGATTTAAATTGTAAATGAAGTCTCTTTAACTCATTAGGCCTTTTATTTGGTATGCTAAGTCACTCCGGAAGTACTGTTAAACAAATGATAAGCCTTAGGTAACATTTGGGTAAATGCTGTAACTATTCTAGAGGTTATATGCAATTCCTAAAGTTTTCATGTTTTTTTTTTAAGATTTTATTTATTTATTTGACAGAGAGAGACACAGCGAGAGAGGGAAAACAAGCAGGGGGAGTGGGAGAGTGAGAAGCAGGCTTCCCTCTGAGCAGGGAGCCTGATGCGGGGCTCGATCCCAAGACCCTGGGATCATGACCTGAGCCGAAGGCGGACGCCTAACGACTGAGCCACCCCAAGTTTTAATGTTTTAATATAAGCATCATTGGGGCGCCTGGGTGGCTCAGTTGGTTAAGCGACTGCCTTCGGCTCAGGTCATGATCCTGGAGTCCCGGGATCGAGTCCCACATCAGGCTCCCTGCTCAGCAGGGAGTCTGCTTCTCCCTCTGACCCTCCTCCCTCTCATGCTCTCTGTCTCTCATTCTCTCTCTCTCAAATAAATAAATAAAATCTTAAAAAAAAAAATAAGCATCATCACTCAATATTCTGGCTATTGAAGTGTTATGAAATAACCTGATTTCCTTGCCAGCTATATTGTAAACTCTCATCTCATCAGATCTTTAACCATGTCTAATCTGATTTTTTGTCATTTATAATTGTTCTTACTCTCTTGCAAAATGAGTTTCATCTTTAAGGAGATTCATAAAAAGGACTTTTAGGACAAATACAGGTAGATATTCAATATCTTTAAAATCCTAAAACTAAAATGGGTAAGAATTTCCAGACTAAAGCTGCATTCAAATTAAACAACAAATAGAAACATGGGACTAAATGAACTAAAAAGATGATTATAGTTTTGTGACTCTTGCTTGAAACATTGCTGGATCTCTAATGTTTACTCTTCCAGACTAAGGAGACTTTCTTTTAAGATATCAATGACTTACAGAAATGTGATAAAATACTCATTTGTAAACAAACCAAAGCACTTAACTTTTCTCTCTACCTGAACCCTCTAAAATTAAAAAGGTCTCAGTAAGTATTCTTTCATCCACAGCAATCATAGTCATTTGCATAAGTTCATATAAGAATCTGTTATCCTTCTAACAGGACACCATTGGAAACACTGGTTATTTTACCAAGGTTTTGACTGGAATGTCCTATTTGAGAGACATGCATAGACTCAGATGTGACCAAACAGCTTTAAGGAACTAAGGTTGACTTTATCAAACCTGGAGCCATAAAGCCCCTTGGAACTGCTGGCCTGATACCTTGCTTACAGCGTTCCCAGCAGCCTCACCAGGTGAGTAAAGAATGTCACTTCCTGGCAGGTGCAGGGAACCTCAGGACACTTTGGGGATCTCCGTGAAGAGGAATTCGCCCAAATCTACAGGTATTGCAGGCATGTCTGATGGCAAGTACTTGGCTTGGCTTCTGACCGGGAGAGGCTACTGAAAGTTCAACCTAGAGATTCCTTATAAAAGTTCCAGCAAAGCAGATTCTAAAAAGATCTATATGATCAATCACTATTCTTGCTGAGCTTATGTAAATGATTAGGCCAAGTTTGTTAAAACTGGACTTGTTTTTCAAATTAGTCCTGATTTGGCTATATCTGGAAATAAGGATTATTTTAGAGAGAAAAATTATGTTTCAATAACCCACCCCTGCAGATGTTAAATCCTAGTTTTGATTATCCTTAAATGTTTGCTTAAGTTAGACAACTTGTGGCAATTTCTCTGAAGTTTACCTCAATAGCTCATATAGACAATCTTTGTGCTTTTTATTCTGGGGGATAATAAAGGACCCCATGGGCATATGATTATTTGAACAACTGGAAAATGGGATCAATCCCCAACAATTGTATAACTCCACTAGCACCTTGACCAATTCTATGTGGCTGGGATGATAAAATCATCCCCTAAAAGCCAGAGCATATCCCACTCCATAGGGTTAACTATAGACTTGTGGAGATAATGGATGACCCCACTTTCTTTATGACTGGATTGGATGATGCACCTGGGGATGCCCTTATCTCTTGACAAGTCTAATCCCACTTGCCAGTGGTTCCTTGTAATTAGGATATTAATGATTTACCTCAAATAAAAAGGGCTTCTTGGTTTTGTCTCTCATAGTCCTATTTATCCTAGAAGCCACCTCTATGGATGTACAATTGCAAACAAAGGCTTTAGCTAAGCATCCAACAGTGCTCCTGGTAAAAGGAGCCTCCAAGCTCACTTTGGGACAGTCCCTGACTGGAATGACTTCCACATCAGATTCAGAATGTCTTAGAGACCAAAGGCCACCAATAGATGATGGGAGGCCGACTTACTAAGTATCAGGCAATGCTTATAGATATGCCTGAAATAACACTTAAAACCTGTCAGACCTTAAACCCAGCTACCCTTATGCCTGGACCTGACCGTTGTACTTTTATAGGGCATAACTGTTCAGAGGTTATTGAGTTGACCAGATTTAAGACGCCTCTATTAAAATTGCAAATGACAGCTGATTTACTGATGACAACAGTTTCATGGAAAAAGGAGTAAGAAAAGCTGGGTAGGGGCGCCTGGGTGGCTCAGTCATTAAGCGTCTGCCTTCAGCTCAGGTCATGATTCCAGGTCCTGGGATCGAGCCCCGCATCGGGCTCCCTGCTCAGCGGGAAGCCTGTTTCTCCCTCTCCCACTCCCCCTGCTTGTATTCCCTCTCTCACTGTGTCTCTCATACTCAAATTGGTCCTTTAAATGATCTCTTTCCTTTAGTGATTGCTTTAAACTCCTGGACTGCAAGAAAATTATCAAAGGTCAACTATCAAAGATCTTTTATTCAGACTCCTCTTTCTCATTATAATATTAACCTTATGTTGTCATTTCTGGTGTCTCCGTGCCTAGCGTCGAAAGACTCCTTCACTGCCATAACTTCCAGCTAACAGATGATCCTTTCTACTCAGGGAGGTTCACGTATGTTGACTGTGTTGGATTCAGCTGCCTCCCTCTTTTGTAACTCCTCTAAACATTCGCCAACTGACCCATACTGACCCATAGGTAGGGACATCTCTATTCCCCTGTTCAGCAGGAAGACATTACAGAAGATGAGACCTTCCACCTTCAACAACCTTAAAGATTTAAGGGTCAAAATTGTTCAAGGGGGAATGATGAGGGAACAGAAGGCTGGCTGGAGACAAAGCATAAGCCAACACCCTGCAACCTCCCCCCACCTCCCACTCCTGGGTGGGACGTGCGACATTCTTCCAGGAAGTTCCTAACTATCTTAATGTTAACGCCTTACTAGAGGGGTAAACAACCTTAACTTGACAATGGCAAGGCCTCCGGTATCCTGTGAGTCTTCTTTAACATACAAAAATCCTTCTGAAACCTCCCTTTCCTTACCTTTCCCAACCCATAGTATATAATACTATGTATATACATAGTATATACAATAGTAATACATAGTATATAATCCTTACCTTTATGTAGTAATACATAGTATATAATCCTTACTCTTCCCAACCGCTAGTATATAATCAGCTACCCCTCACAACCCTGGTGCAGCAGCTCTTTCTGCCCATGGGTCCTGTCCCTGTGCTTTAATAAACCACCATTTTGCACCAAAGATGTCTCAAGAATTCTTTCTTAGTCATCAGCTCCGGACTCCACCCCACTGAACCTCACTTATATTCTAAAACTTCATCACAAGCACAGAGCAGACCCCTCTTGATAAACACATGTCCCTAAGTGTGTACCTGAGCAGAGGATCCAGGGTCTCTCTGGCCTTCGCCCACCACACCAGCTTGTGTTTGCAACCTGGAAGCTCACTTACATCAGACAGAGATGTAGCACAAGACACAGGAAAAGTACACGGGTTTGGATTTAGACATGCCTGGGAGTGAGGTCATCATTCTACCACTTAGTAGTTGTGTGATCTAGGCCTCAGTTTCTTGTCTGTAGCGTACCACAGAATTGGGAGGAAGGATTAAAAGCAAAAACACATCAGGAGACAACATATGTAAAGGGCCATATACACTGCAGGAGGGCAGGGTCCTTGCTTACCTGGCCAGCGCTGTACCCAGAGCCCAGCACAACACAGGCCCTATGTTAAGGTCTCAACTGCAGGCCTGCCTAGCCACAATGATTGCAAAACCTAGTGAAGGATAGAAAAGTAGAGGCGACTGCAGGGACAGTCAATAACTAACAAAGAAAAAGACAAGTCACATTCTCCTAGAGAACACCAGTGACTTTTAAAGTTCAAAGGTAGGGGCGCCTGGGTGGCTCAGTTGTTAAGCGTCTGCCTTCGGCTCAGATCATGATCCCAGGGTCCTGGAATCGAGCCCCGCATGGGGCTCCCTGCTCTGCAGAAGCCTGCTTCTCCCTCTCCCACTCCCCCTGCTTGTATTCCCTCTCTCGCTCTCTCTCTGTCAAATAAATAAAATAAAATCTTGGAAAAAAAATAATAAAGTTCAAAGGTAGGTATTGTGAGAACTGAGCTATTCATAACAAAGGGTACTCCCTAAAATGTCCGCCGATTTTGGTGAAAAGTAATCTTAAGAGAATTACAGTGAAAGGAAGCAACTTCCAGAACACCATTTATAGTGATGGAAAGCCCCCCAATTTTTCTCTAAGAGGACACACTGAAATTTCAGGGCAGCAAGGGCTGCCACCATGAAGCTACATGAAAGAGAGTCCAGACAAAACAATGTAAAACAAGAAATCATTTTTCAAGTCCCCAGAGCTGAAAATAAGGAACTGCTGTACATTAAGGAGCATTTTTTTAAGTAGGCTCCCATGCTGGGAGCCCAAATCTACAACCCTGAGATCAAGACCCGAGCTGAGACCAAGAGTCGGACACTCAACAGCCTGAGCCACCCAGGTGCCCCAAGGAGCAATTTTAAACGTAAAGAGAGCAAGCGAACCAGATGAAGGATCACTCCAAGAAACCTAAGTGCCTCAGATGTTCCCTTTGCTGGCCCAGGACCCTCGTGCTTCTGACCTCTGCCACTTTAGGTTTAATAACCCGGGGTAATCCACCCGAATAGGCAGGCCCTTACATATCCATGTCCCGTGGAACATTTGCATCATTTGCAGCTTTCGTAAACATAAATACGAGGGTCCTGGGCCAGCAAAGTGGCGTGAGCCTGCCTATTCGGGTGGATTACCCCGGGTTATTAAACCTAAAGTGGCAGAGGTCAGAAGCACGAGGGTCCTGGGCCAGCAAAGGGAACATCTGAGGCACGGGAGGGGATCATTCAGAAAGCTGGTCACTAGCCATGGACTGTCCAGGGGTCTCGAATACAGAAAAGTCAACGAGTCACTGGGAGGCCCAGACAGAGGGATCAGTACATGTGTGTATTGCCAGGGGCTGAGGGAGTGGCGTGAGCTCTGAAATGGCACACATGTGGCAAAGACAAGCAGAATAAAGGGACCAGAGTTCTGGACTCTGCAGGGACACCGAGGGGAAACAGGCCCTCTTCTACACACTGGTGGTGGTGTAAATTGGTACATCCACTGTGGACAGCAGTTTCCTAGGATTTCTCAAAACCGCAAATGCACAGGGCCAGAACAGAATGGTAGTTCCTGCCCCTTCCTTTTATGTTTTACATCACTTGATTCTGTGGCATCTATGAGGTCTCCCCATCCCCACGTGGACCCAGCCATCCCACTTCTGATCATTTATCCCACACTCAACACCTGCACGTGTGTGAAATTATGAATTTACAAAGCTAGTATTGTTTTGGGTTTTTTGATTTTTCTTTTTTTAAGTAGGCTCCACACCTAGCGTGGAGCCCAACTAGGAGCTTGAACTCAAAACCCTGAGATCAAGACCTGTGACCTCAAGAAATGATGCTTAACCAACAGAGCCACCCAGGTGCCCCGCATGGTCTTTTTTTTTTTTTTAAAGATTTTATTTATCTATTTGACAGAGAGAGACACAGCAAGAGAGGGAACACAAGCAGGGGGAGTGCGAGAGGGAGAAGGAGGCTTCCCGCGGAACAGGGAGCCCAACGTGGGGCTTGATCCCAGGATCCTGGGATCATGACCTGAGCCAAAGGCAGATGCTCAACGACTGAGCCACCCAGACGCCCCCGGCATTGTCTTTAATAGCAGGACTGGAAACACCCTCAAATGTCCATCAAAAGGGACCGGATGAATGTGTTACCGTGCATCCATGCAATGGAAAACCATGCAGCAATGAAGAGTGGAAAGATCTCTAATACACAGTTAAGTAAAAAAAAAACAAATGCAGGGTGCAGAAGAACAAAGCTTGTCGCATGCTACCTATTTGTGCGGAGATAAAAAGGGGA